GCTTCCTCTGAAGTTTCAGGTAGGCAGAGAAAGTGCCAAATTGAAGATGTTCAAGAAACTTCCAGAACGGAGTTCCTAACAAGAGTGTACGCGTGTGTGTGTGTGCATTTTCCAACTTCAGCAATGCCTCTCACTTCATTTTTTCAGTGTCACTCCCTGGCTTTTAAAAGCCAGAGCCCAGGTTGCCATCCTCTGTACTGACACTAGTGTGATTCAATAGAAGGGATCAAACCTTCAGCTGCACTCAGGAGATTGCAGTCATTTTAGCTAATGGAATAATAGATAGCAATCTCAGGTTGTCATTCTCAGCATGAACCAGCTCTAGAGAGGAATGGACACTTCACTAGCATTTTTCATGGTGACAGCAGAAAAATGATGATTCCCAGTTTATTTCCATGCACTTGATTGAAGTGTGCTCTCTTAAAAGCCTCAATTCTCCCTGTTGATCTCCTGTTCCCTCCTCTACTCTCCAAACTCTCTTTCCTAGCCTTGTACTTTATCTGTCCTATGGTCCTCATTTTACACTCTTCTCTCAGTCTCAATCCTGGCTAAGTAATCTACAGATTACACCTGAATTTCATATTTTTCAAAGTCCTATAAGCAAATCAAACTTTGACAAATTTTCAGAAAGCCAGAGAGCAAGCATATTTCAGGTAGTTTGCATACAAGAAGTAACTTTTTATTCTCTCCACAGAGGTGAAAATTGGTATTTTCATTAGCTTTAGAATTAGTATTAGGTGAAATTTATCAGAACCATTTAAACCATCCAGCATCGTTCAAACATCATATAGAATTATCAGTTCAATCAGCTGAATAACAGCAAAGCTTGAGGCAAGGAAAAAATGGTATTATTCCTGAAAATAATTAGCATGGATTCTAGAAATTTGCTACTGTTTTGTGCTAACAAAAAAAGGAAAAAAAAATCAAGACAAAATTAAATACATATATGAATGTATTTGCTGAAGAATAAAGTTGTGGATCTTCCTTAGTATATATTTTTTGTAAAATTTTCTCAGACTAAATTTATTTCCATTCATCCATGAGGGTCTAAGCCTTAAAACTTTCCATTATTGGGGGGATAGTTTACAGAAAAAAAAAAAAATATATATATATATAGTATTGATCAGGCCAATGGTACCTGTTCCACTTTTATCAAAGGTTGGTAATCAGAAGATGCAATACACCCAATAAGTTATAAGAGTATATTCTATATTCTCATTCTTCTTGTTGTTCTATAAGTTATATATGTATATATATTATAAGATATGTATGGTAATTATAAGATAAGATGATCTCCAGGCCTTCTTCCTAGCCCTACATTTATTTGTTTATTTTGATTAAATTTTTTTCTCTCTTTTCTATTCTCTCTCTCTCTTTTTTTTTTCTTTTTTTAATACTTTATTTAAAAAAAATTCTCTTATTATCACACAACTGCATTCAGGGTTGTAAACTCTCCCAGACATTACTGCTTTGATCAGTACCTATGCAACTTTCAGGTGAGTGTATTCATGTTCTACAGCAAATGTGCACTTCAGTAACAAAGGTTATAATTAGACAAATAATAATAGAAAGACAGATTGCAGATCCCTTACTCGTAGTGTTGAGCTATTAGTCATGTGAGCTGTCTCATGAAATCACTCACCAACTGCATGACTTGTATGAAAAACTGAGCAGTTAAGACTCCAATCTGGTCCATTACCATTATGTAATGTTGAACATTTGTGTAAATTGGTCTAATTTAGAGGTCTCTTCAGTGCAAATGTCTCTTTGAATTGCCTCTGCTGCAAGTAATAGATTAACTTCCAAACTGGAACTCCCCAGCAGGAGACAGTGCAGCAGCTTGTATGAGGGGATGTATACAGAATCTAATTAATCCTAATGTTTCTCTAAGTTTAATCATGCAGGCCATCAGCATACAAATATTTGAGCATAAGCTTTAGCTTCTGCAAGAGATCTACAGGTGTGACAAATAACAACATGAGTGTTTTGGTCCTTTCAGATTACACATGCTATCTCCTTCAAGTAATGCTCCTTTAAGCCATTCCTCCAAAACTGGAGTTTTGCCCAGCAAGTATTCATTCTCCATTTCTGAAATAGGCCTTTAGCCTATTTGTTGACCGCTGTGAAATTACATCCTCCCTCCTTGTAGTTATATGGAAAGTATCTAAAGGAAAAAAAGTTCCTTTCAATGGTAACCACTCAAATGCAAATAAAATACATAGTGATTGCTCAGATAAAGAAGCACTGAAAAGGATGCCCACCTTACATGTGCATAGGTATGAACTTGTACTCAACGCACCTGAGGTTCACATCTTAGCATTTGGGGGTTTAGCCTTATGACATTTTAAAATAATTTTTGTTCTGCCACAGGTAGTTTCAAGATGTGTGCAGGCCTTGGGAATAGGTAGTCATTCTCTTCTATGTTGGTGTGATTATTTCTGTTTTCCAATTCTTTCTTATTGCTCAGCCCTCTGAGTCTTACCTAAATTGTATATCTGTATAGTACTCAGTTACTTTTAGAGCTCTTGTTGAAATCACTCTTCCTTTGAATTCTACTTTTTCCTCACCAGATGAATTGATATTTACTTCTAAGTCTTTACTGAAATCTCAATGATACGGGCAGTCTCCTTCTGGATGAAGAAATCTTTCCTCCTTCTTGGTCCTTAACCTCAGCTCCTTTTCCTATTAAGTCTTTGTTACTCTAGTTCTGATCTTCTGCTTCCTAATACCCTGATGTTATTCTCATTCTTGCTAAGTGCTTTCCTATGTACCTCACACAGTTGTTTTCTGAGTACCTGATTAGTGGCACCACCATGACTTCCCTATGTCTGCTCCCTCTTTGTGCCCATTTACCTACTTCAATGTAACTCTTTCTGTGGTTTCTTCTGACATTCCCAGAAGACAGCCATCATGCCGGGTGAGTTGATGCCTGCTGATGCAACAGGAGCCCTGAAGGCTGTGAGTGCCATGAGGGGGAGAGAGGGAGTCACACCGTGTTCAAAATGTGGACACATTCAATTTGTTCCCATGTTCCTGGGAGAGAAGCTGGTATGCTGGTGCATGGAAACACCATTTAGGCTGGTTTAGGACATGAGCTGAGCAACAATAGCTTGGATTATCCATACAGATATTGTCGCTTAGTCATACAGACAAATATGAACACATTTTCTCTCCTGTCTTATCTGAACCCCTTCTGACCCTAGTACTTCTAAGTCCACAGTGCTACCCTCTCCTGTCCTGGCCACAGAGATCTTTGGTCAAGCTGCCAACTATAGTCATCATCCTCATGGCCTTTGTTGTGGTTTTTCCTGGTCATAAATATTCTTCTTCAAATATTGCTGAAGCATCAGTATTCTTATGAGTTTGAAAACAGCAAGAATGTATTGAAAAAACGTTTATTCCAACAGGAAATAGCAGAGCTAATTAATTGAACAGGATGAGTGAATGAGTTGGCATAAAAAAGGATACTGTTCATGTTACAAACTGGTCATCGCTATTTTATTTTATTTTATTTTATTTTATTTTATTTTATTTTATTTTATTTTATTTTATTTTATTTTATTCAGAACCATTTGATTGAAAATAAATGTTTTGTCTGTCACATGCTTTTTTGGAAAGAAACAGTGAGTGAGTCAGAGAATGAAGAGATTTTTCAAGAGGAGCCTAATCTTTTGGGTGGCTTTTGGGGTTGTGATTCATTCTTGCCCACACACTGTAGAATAAGAGCAACTCATCATTTTGGATGATTTACTACATATAGCAGGTTTCTGAACTGTTTAACACTTTGTTATAAAGGTGACTACCCTCACAGAAATGACATTGTTGTCATATCAATACAGTGCAAAAGTCCATGTGGGCCTGATAGAGAGACAGTAGAAAAATGGCCACAAAGGAGGAATTGGTGAGGCAATGGTGAATTTTCTTTTCATTTTTAGGTAACAATTTCCACACACCACCCCCTCCTTTTCCTCATTTTGCTAGCTTTGAACTTTATCCAACTTTATTTTTTTTTAACTGTATAGAGTACAGGTTAAAAAACAAAACAAAACAAAACAAACAAACAAAAAAACCTGCTAAAACTGCTAACCTTCAAACCACTGAAGACTTCAAGTTTTGCTGAAGATTTGAAAAAAGAAAAAAAAGTAAAAAAAAAAAAAAAAAAAAAAAAAAAGGAAATAAACACTCACCCAAACACGGGCAACTACTACCATATATTTAAAAAAAAATCAGGAAGAAAAAGCATACCAAAGCTGAAAAGGCATGGACTAGCAAATTTGATGATTTAGTATTTCAAAATGAAAAATAAAGTATATATTGAAACAGATCTCTAACAATTTGATCTATGCTCACAGAGCTTCCAACACTATCTTCCAGGAATGTCAAAAACCACTGTGGGCTGGAAATCACGTGTGCGTGGTCAGCTACACGCTTACAATCTCACAGCTTGTTCCAAATCTGGGTGACAAAGAAGGATGTAAGAAAGGAGGGAAGGAAGGAAGGAAGGAAGGAAGGAAGGAAGGAAGGAAGGAAGGAAGGAAGGAAGGAAGGAAGGAAGGAAGGAAGGAAGGAAGGAAGGAAGGAAGGAAGGAAGGAAGGAAGGAAGGAAGGAACAGTCAGATATGTCTTCCTCCAAAAAAACAAAACAAAACAAAACAAAGTGTCAAACCAAAGGAAATTCTTTTTCTGATACATCTCCTTTGAAGACATATCACAGATAATTAAATTGATTTTACAATCAGCTTTTGCTTTCTTGACAGTGGTCTGACATGAAAAAAGAGTAGTATCCATTTTTCCTGTCACTTGCCTTGTGTTGGACTTGGAATCATCTTGCAGCTGGGAAGAGGGTCTAATCAGTTTGCTTATATATGTGACAACCGAGTCACTATAGCAATTTGTAGTTATACTGGCTTTAAATAGTCATGAAATTTATGGTGAGATTTGGAAAAAGATGAAAAGTTAATGACAAAGAGAATAAAAGTGCACTCTAAATGTGTCCTTACCTAATGCAAATGGATATCAGGCAAAATCTTCCATTGATTCCCAACGAACAATCAGGGCAATGGAGAACATGACCACTTCAATTTAGAAGCTCAGGAGATTGCCAAGTGTCTGGAAACATATCTAGAAGAAAGAACAGAGGATATTTACCTAATACAAGAAAATGAAATATAAGGCAACCTCAGCTATGTTTTCAGAAGTGCTATTACACATAATGTACAAAATAGGTGCCCCAGAAGATCAGCAAATGTAGCTGAGCAGATTGTTGAAAGACCATCAAATATCTGAACACACACACACACACACACACACATAGACACAAAGCCTAACTTAGACTGGTGAAAAGCTAATAATTTCACTCTTTGCTGGCTGTTTGTAAACCAAAATTTGTTAAATGATGTTATTATGTTATCTAATTGAATTGGGCTCTGGAAATAGAGATGGAACTACTTCCACTAGAGATCAGACTGAGTAGCATCCAGTATATATGAGAACTTGGAAGTGTGTGGGAAAAAAAAAAGCCAGCTTCCTTTTTTTTTCTTTATGTCCCCTATAATTTTATTTCATTGAAAAAAAAGTTCTTGCCCTTATTGCTGTCTGTTAACAAAAGAGAAAAACCATAGTGAATTATTTTAAAAGCTCAAAAGCTATTTGGTTTTCTCTTTAATAAAAAATTGATTTGAGAAAAATTTCTGAGTGGCCAGATATAACCCATATATTTATGTGCTTGGTAGCTTATTTTAAAATTAACTAAATTAAAAATGAACTGTGATGGTAAGATACGTAAGGTGTTGGCTGGCTATTTTGCACAGAATAATTCATGCCCAGCACTCTGTTATTCATGGCAAAGACAGTCCTTCCCTCAAAAAAATGAAGGCAAACCACCACTGTACAGTAAGGTAAACTATTGTCCTTGCTCTACGTCTATCTGTACCACCATTTTCAAGTATTGTCAAATCTACCACTCATATATAGTAATTTTATTTTCAGTAATATAAAAAAGAAGAACATCAGTGGAAAGCTTCCTCTGGCTATATAATTTCTTTTTGCAAGTTTTTGAAGGAACCTATTAGTTCCTCCAAAGGACTGTGACAGGATCAAATATTCAAATGTGACATGCTTACGGAGATCTAATATTGTCTTGCTGTGTATGACTAGTAGTGCAACTCTTTCCACTGTACACAATGCTGCAGTCAGTAGTGTTAATTTTGTAAAGCTAAAACACATCATACAGATTTCTAAAGCTTAGTTACCTGTAGTTGCTATTTCAAAGTTTGTTGTGGAAAATGACATTTAGTCAGAACACATATAGTTAAACCAATATGCTTTGTAGTGGATATACATTATTAAGCACTTCTAATATTTAAGGGAATGAATAATAATAATTAAAAAATGGTTGTATTTTTAAATACTCCGATGACACCTTTGATCCTTTTTCGTATCAGAGAAATAAAAAAGAGCAGTGTCCACACAACAGATCCCTTTACCCCATAACAATATAATAAAAATATATATTGCCTGGTATATAAAAGCTGGATAAATGAAATGTAATTGGATTCACTGCAAAACAGAAATGGCATATGTGACAGAAAATCTGTTTAATACTCTTTAACTGCCAGAACACATACACACATTGCACATACACAGCAAGTTCATTGTGAACAGGTAATTAATGGAGTGCTGCACAGAAGCCTACAATGCAGAAGGAGGAAGAGGTTACTAGTGATTTTGCAGTGATCAGCAAGGAGACAAAGGGCTAAGATTTGGGATGAAACATGTCCTGCTCTTTAAGTTTCTCAAGCAGGCATACAGAAGGTAGTGAAAGGAGTACAAAAAACCAATCCCCTCTCCTTTTCAGCTGTACATAAAAGATAGCAATCACATCAGCAGAGAACACTTGCAGCTGATTCAGCTCATTCATCAGGCCTTGTTTGGGCTTAGACCCAACTCTCATTGAAGTCAATGGGAGTATTTCCTTTGCCTTCTCTACTGAAATGGATTGAGTCTTTCAAGGTCCTCTGGGAAACCAAAGAGCTCTCCTTTAGCAAAAGATGAAAATGTTCTTTCCTCAAGCAGCAGAAATGCAAAAGCAATTGCATGTCAGACATCACAAAGTGGTCTGGCAGCACTGCTATCACCTTCCCACTGCACCTGGAGAGAAGCCACAATAGAATGGGAAGTGCTTATCCTTCCCAAGCACACAGCACCATATATTATACTTCACATAAAATAAAGCAATTCTCTCTCAGCTATGTGCAGAAGAGCAATGAGGCAGAGAAACTTAAGGAGTATTTTTTTTTTTTTGATGAACAAGAAAAAAGGCACAAAACAGCAAACAATACCAAAAAATCCCACAGTACTCTGTATTTAAGGTGATTATTTGTAAAACTGTTTCTTTGAATAAAATCCACCTAAAATAGTTTTCTCTTGCATAATATTCCTTTTACACATGACATTTGTTTTCCCTTTGGAACACACTGAAAGTTCCTCATTAGCACAAAGTACTCACAAAATCCCTCTCACTGCACATTTCAGCTGTTCTCTGACCTTAAGTAGGTACAGACAATAACTTTTCTCGGCTAGCTTGCTACTAATATGCATGAGGGGATTTCTACTCCTCCTGCCAATCCCAACCCAAACAGCAATGATAGAAAAAGTAGATGAAACTTTCATAAGAGTGAAGAACTGTGTTTTTTTTTTACTTTATTTTTCTTTGCAAAGTTTGCATCCTTTATGTTATGTGGAATTAATTCTTCTCATTGATTAAAACAAAAAAAAAATGAAAACACTTTTTCTGAAACAAGGCTTCTATTATTATTATTATTAATTATTATTATTATTATTATTATTATTATTTATCTTCCCATCCGTGCAGCAACACTAAAGCTCTCACAAGGCATTTGTGAACATATTTGTACCTGTTCAAAGGCTTTCACATGCTAGAGTATCACCAAGGTATAATCAACATACCAACATAGACTTGCAGAAAGTACCTTTTCCATTAACCTTTCCAATGTGACAGTCACTTCATGCAAATTGAAATCCATCACTTCAAATTGCTGCAGGATGGTTTCTAACTGAGGCAAAAGTCTCTACTATTTGGCTCCACTTACTTCTGACAATGTGCCCTTTAAGATCCCCTCCAGAACAGAGCTACAGCTACTGTGACCTTATTCATTCCTTATATTTTCTGTAGTTTACAGCAAATCTAATGATATTATCTGTTTCTCTCAGCTCACACTGAGGTCATCTCCAATCTCATATATGAGATAAGGAGCTTTTCTGCATGGCACTTCTCTCTCCACTTTTGCTAAAAGGGAAGGTAACTCCAAAGGGGTGGGTTCCTCATGTTCTTAACCTTTCATTATGCCAGCACAGTACAAATACCATTGTGAATACATTGGCAAGGAAGTTGTCAGTTTTCTCCCCTGCATTTGACCTGAAGAAACCTGGGGAAGAGAGAATGGATTGCTCCGGATGATGAATTATATCTGAAGAAAATATTTCATAGGGTTTACATGATTCAATTCAATAACATAATTTTAAAGACTGGCAGGGAAGAAAACCTCAAAAGTGAGTTTGTCACTGATATCTTAGGTGGTCAAGACAAATAATGCTGTATAATCTAACTCAGAAATTGAATTACTAATGGAACAGAACTGACTGATGTTTGACAACCACCACAATATATGGTTTGGAACCTGTCATTTTGTTCAGACTAGCTAGGATCTAGGGAAAAAGACAAAAAAAAAAAAAAAAGACAAAAAAAAAAAAAAAAAGCCTTCAGCAGAATGATGCATGAAAACCTACCTAATCAGGCAGGCAGATGACCACTGCAAATTTGTACATTGCTGAGAACTTCAGGATGAAAGAAGTAGCCAATAAATCAGCTATTATGTTCTTTGCTGGACCAGAGCTTGTAGCTAGGGATGTAGACAGGGAAGTGAAAGACTTCCAAATGTCCAAAAGACTTGAAATATTCTAAAGACTTTCAAATATCAGTGAAAGAGGCTGACTTGCAATTGCATGTCAGACCTGCAACAGACACAGGGCTTGGGGAGAGGCATGTCATGCTGAAAAGAAGCCTGAAGTACTGCTTCTGAATTTATTCCCTTTCACATTAAGAACTAGTGCTAATGCTTCAAGGTTTGGAAGGAACAGAAAGCCTGAGGGTAACTTGTCACAGCAATAGCTTCAGTCCTTCAGGAAAACAAAATAAATAAATAATGAATAGATAAATAAATAATCCCTGCCTAAAAGGAAATATTATTTTTATTTTTGAAATGGGCAGTGGTTATCTCTGAAACTTGTTTGCTGCCATTTGAAAAAAAGTATAGTTATTTGGGGCTGGCAATGTGTAAAAAGCTCTAACACATGTGTTTTCTATACAGCTGCTTAGTTGAATGTTACCATCTGTATTTGTTATGACATTTCATTTTGGGAGACGTTGTTCAGAATATCATTTTAATCTATATCTGGACATTACCCTGTACAGTGGTATAATGAGTTGAGTAATTCCCACTGAAACTGGTGGGTATGTACAATTATTTCTGAGTTTGGTAAAGATATGAAACAATTAAAAATTAACAGTGAATTATCTATAGATTTAAAATGCTGGGGTAATAATAATCTTGTTCTGAACACTTACATCACAAGCTATTACCATTAATACTGAAAATATTCAGAAGCAAGATGAAGGACTACACTGAATTTTGTATTCATGAGGGATATGTGCAAGAAATAAGTAAGAAACACCCACAGAGAGATAAAAAGCAAGTTGTCAAGGGAATATCAAGGAACATGGTCCTTAGAAAAGTCTTGGGAGAATGGTGGGGCAGGTGAGGGAAAGAGAAAAGGGACACTTTTCTATTCAAAGCCTTTTCTGTTTAGGAAAAAGGTATCTAAACATAAACATAATTGGATGTCAGAGATGACTGGCAAAGAATATGTGGATTAATTATAATTGCAAATACATTTCTCTTTGATGGATCTCTGTCACTGGTAGTATCAGACATAGTTACATATGATACCTGAGCTGCTCTATATAGTCTCTAGGTATAAATAACCAAAACCATTTCAACTGTGGTGTAGAAGAGTCCACCTTATCCATTAGGTTATTGAATGCATATTAACTTCTGAAGAAGTTAATACAGAGAGAGAAACTCAAAGATGTTTTTATATCCTCACTATTCACAACAGTGTCTGCCCTCTGATTACAGGCTCAGACTTAACATGGTACTAAGTATTTTTCTGAATCAAGTTACGTTTTTTCCTGAGTCAACTTGATCCCAGCAGCTCTGTGCATTTCATTTTTCTCTAAATTCAGGGAGGGAAGGGTCTCCTCATTGGTAAACAAGTTCCAAGAGAGTGATTCAAAAAACTGATCTTACACTATGACACTGTTATACTGTGGTAGGTTAATCTACTGTATGTGAGAAGTTAAACTGCCACCCCAGTTAATATATACAGTGTCTGAAGCTGTTCCACATTCATGATTTAGTCCTGTGCAGAGAGCAAAATTCTTGTGTCAGGGAGGACCTGAAGACTTCTAAAATTTATTTTGAGACAGAAATGAAAGTCCACCATTCCATAATTATCCACACACATGACTGAGTGCATTTTGAATAGATCAGAAATTTTTCAGTGAAGCTGCTTTTAAAATCTTACTTTTAATATTGTAAGATCACATCTTACAAAACACCAATATTTAGCAAAATAAAATATAAGGTATTTTAAAGTATTTTAACATTTTTTTCTTCTGCTGTTCAAATATTTTTTTGACTCACTTGAACTACACCATGAGATTTCTTATTTCAAAATAATATCTCATTAACTGTAATACACTAAGCAGATTTGCATAGAAACACTTATTAGCTAGCTCTGGTTCTGTGAATAATTGCACAAACTTACGACAGGATTAAAAGAAGGGGGCATTAAATGCCTTCAAATTGTAACAATAGAGTGTCAGAACAGTCTTTCATTTCATTTAATAATATCAAATCTATCACGTTTGTATTTCAAGTCAGACAGTAGGAGCTATTTTAAAGAGCTTCTTTTAGCAACCATGCTTCTGTGTAGGGGGCGACCCTTTGTTTCGCGGGCTCGGTTGTCACGTTTGGCAGAGATGCTCGCATTCAGAAAGATCCCGGGAATGGCAAATTTCCAAGCTCTGTTCTCACCAGGTGGGGGCAGTCACAGCCCTTAATGCAAAGCAAGCAGCTGTCACCTTGGGAGAAAACCAGATCGGCCGCCCACGCACATAGCCGGAGGGATCCTGCTCGGCCCGAGCTTTGTGCATAGCTGAGGAAAAGAAAAATCAGAAACAAGGAAAAGGAAGAGAATATTTCATGAGCATATTTTTTTTTTTTTTTTGTCTTGCGTAGCCTGTCCTATTTGAACATCAATTGCTATCATTTTGGAGGAAGCGGGGGCACTGTGATAATATACATATTTATGTGCAAAACAGACATGGTAATGCATTCATCTTCGTCCTGATGCAGTGAAAGACTGTAACATCTGCATATCAATAGGCACAAATTTGACGCAGTTCTTGGTAGTGTCATTTCAGAGAAACTCAAGGGGTGGAGAAGGAGGAGTTTGCAACTCCTTTTTCCTATAGCACTGGCTTGCCTTCTTCTTATTTGCAATCCAGGGGACAAATGCAGCAGAACAGATGAGGACAGTGCAGAGCGTGCCAACATGGGCTATAAAACCTCACTGCACTGAGGGCAGAGAAACTCATGTTTGGACCTGCTGGAAAAGGGAGCAGAGAAACTTTACTTCTTGCTGTAGATCCATGGGAATTTAAAGGCAGCTGTTAGCTATGTTAGCTTCTCTGCAGTCAGCACTGAGCCCTTCTGGATCCATGGGGAATAAGAGGAATGAGATCACATGCAATAGCTGCTTCCTGCAAACCGAGTGTGATGACCCATGAGATCTCCTCCTCTGTAATTGCCAGAGCTTGTCACTCCTGAAGAAAGTGCACCCCTAATGACTATTCAGGTCCTCACTTTCATTGGGATGAATTAGGCATTGATTTTGAAAGAAACCCCGTATTTAAGCATTATACATCCTGTACTCATCTAAATGCCAGTGACTGGTAGGTGTCAGAGATATAAGAACAGCCAGGCAGCTCCCAGGGATGCTAGTAAAATGCCTACTATGAATACACAGTAAAGAAAACAAGTTCCACTGGTGCTGCAGTGCTCAAAAACTTAAAAATATTTATTGGGTGGGAAACAGGTCAACAGAACTGACAGTATTTCTCATGACTCTTACACTTCCCTTGCAGGAATAATTTTCAAAGTCCACTAGGCTGAAAATAAAGCTTTTACAAAAATATCAGGCCTATTTACTATCAGATGTTCAAAGGATTTTTTCCCCGAAGTTTTATTAATATTTTCTCCAGTCCTCAAATTACAGGAAATTATCTGATACAAGCCTAGTGTAGGCATAAGAATGAAATAATTCCTCCTGCAATGCTGAGGTTAGTAATTTAATATGGAAATAATAACTATTTATCATTGCAAGTAACTACGTTTCACCTAATATAGTAAACTTAAAATGTCATTAACACACCTTCCACAGAATAATGATTATTCATGTTGATGAAATGAACACCAAAGCTGTTGGAACAGGGAGCTCTCAACAGAGTCAACAGCATAATCCTTTCACATCTTTACATTTCAGTCTAAAATAAAGAACTACATCAATTCCTCTTGAAATCTGAACCAAACAAGTGACATAAGAGCTGCTTTTAATTGAGCAAGTGAACAACCTGGTGCAAAAAAATAAATAAATAAATAAATAAAAAAGTTAAGAGTAGTTTGTTACAGTTAGTTCATTTGCAGAAGTCTTTGTTCTCAGTGGGATAACTAGAAAAACATCTCCTTTTCCTGTGTACGTGTCTTAGAATATTTCACAGTACAGCCATGTGTGATTCTTCTTTGTGTATATGGTTTAAAGTCTCATAATAGACTATTTTTTCTAGTAAACAGCTTTTTGTTCCTTTTTTTTTTTCCTTTTTTTTTTTTTTTTTCCCTGACACTCTATTCATAAAGATGTCCACTAGCCAAAGGCATCATACACCTACATTAAGGCTTAGCAAACATTACCCTCAGTATATTTCATTTTGAGCTCCTTTAAATAGGATTGGATGATGACATTTTAAATGTTTAGATGGATCAGATACTTTTTCTTAACTCTCCTTTTATTTGACAGGAAACCCATAATAGATGTATTACTTGATTTTCAAAGTACTGCATTGCACAGCAGCTGCACATTACAAATCACGTTGAGCAGTAGCATCTAAAAATACTTGCATTTAAGAAACAATTCTTATAAACAATATTTTCTTTCTCCCTTGATTTTTATTACTGAATAGGGGAATTGAGTGAAACTTTTTCTATATTTGAGCTCTAAAATCTTGGAATCCATAAAGTTGACTATTGGACTACCAATTCCATGTGCTTTAAATTTGTCTGGAAATTGTTATGGGTTTCATTTTTGCCTTTTACATTTCCTACATTTCTAAGAGTGGAACCTGCCCATTTATGTTCATTTCAAAGCAAATCATAGCAGCAAAAAGGAAGATTGGCATCCTTTTTATCAAAGATTCCTTGCTTCCTCTAACTGATCTGGAAATAAAATGTCTTTGACTGAAATACTCATCTTCTGCTTACATGTGAGACGATAGCATATGATTTGTGTTCTAACAGGTAAATAACTTTATAATAGCCAAGGATCTTTCCTGGAGAGCAGAGTCCGAGCATGGAGTCCAACACCATCTACAGCCTTGTAATCAACTTTAAAGCAAGCAAATGCTACAAAAAGAGGACTCAGTTTAGGTAAGGAGTAAGCAATGCAAACAAATCACTTCTAAGCAATAAGCTCCTGCTTTCTTGTAAGACTCCCCAAATGATAAAGAAAAAGGAAGAGACTCCAGTTTTTACAATACAGTTTTTAACTGAAAGGTTTTATAGTATTTTCCCACAAGATGTTGGAAAGTCTCTAGTACACACTGTTGAACTTATTTTTGAAATAATTTTTACATATTTAAAACTGTACCATTGTAGTAAAAGTCTTGAAAGATCATCTTTAAAGGAGTGGAGAGCACGAGAAACCTTATCTTCTCCTGTGGAGGCTCAATTGCTACAATTTCAATTGCAACTGCACATCAGGAGGTACTGTGACTCAGCGGCACTCCTTACTGCCAAATTCTTACTTTCTTTTTTTCCACATTAGAGTTAGCAGTAAGTCAGGACAGTTTGGGTGACAGTTTCATTATGCTGACTTGGAAGGAAGAAAAGGGAATAGATACGAGTTAACTTGCCACTGTTAGAGGTCCAAAATCCATCCATGCTCTGCTTTACTTCTCCAGGAAGGAAAAGGAAACACACAAATCCTGCTGCAGACACAAGTGTGGAGTGAGAAGACTCAAGAGAACTTCTTTCCTATTGTTACTTTGCATTAGTATATACTTCATGATATGACCAAGGTCTTTAGTTAAGATCATGTCTTCTGAGGAGTCGATACAAGCAGAACCTCAGTAACTCCAGACAATGCAGTACTTTTCCCTCCGGTTGAGAAAACTGTTTTTCCATGTTCTTAATCTATGCTGCAGGGAGATTCTGCAGTTTCACTGCCTGGAGCCAAAGTTGTGCCGCACAGCTGAGAAGCTTTCAGCACCTTGTTGTTCATTCCAGAAATGGGCTGGATTTGTTGATGGTTTCATCACATCATGGTAAATATTTTCTACTGCTTTTCCTGTCACTTTCTGCCTGATCACCCTCAGGCCTCATTTGGCTAAGCCAAGGTACTTGTTTTTGCAGTGCCAGCTGCTGTATAACCTCAGTGCTACACAGGTGGTAATAAAATGCATCACTTTTTGCTCAATATAACCTTATACTCCTGTAGAAACCAAATTAGACCCCCACCTTCTGTCAGCTCCTGCAATATTAACCTTGCCTCTCCTTTTCTGGCTTGATTTCCTTCTGATGCTTTCAGGTATCTAACATTCAATTAAATTATGACAGAAATACGAAGTCTCAGTGAAGAGGAGTGGGAGCAGTGGTTTCCAGGCAGGACTGGAAGTCATTGGGTAATCTGTACCAGACCATAAATGTATACCTTTTTTTGCTATAACTTCACACTTGAGTTGCCTCAGTAGTTAATTCAGAAAAAGCCACCACATCCATCAGCAGACTTGTTGCTGACTACACATAGGTGCTGTGTTTCTAACTGTGGGGTTAGGTGTACAGGGGAATCCTACTGCAAGGACAAAGTATCACCTGGCATTTTCTCTCTGTAAGATCTGAGAAACTGATGCACCAGATGTTTATATAATCCCTGCTCTTTCTAACTTTATCTCTGTACTTAAGCACGGCACCTTCAAATTATGGCTTCACCACAGTAATACATTTCACAATGACTGACAGAATTACAGCCTTGAAGCTAAAAAGCTGTAACTCTTTTTGACCAAACCTGCACACAGAGCAGAGGGTTTCTGGAAGCAGCACCTTCTTCATTCTTAAAGCTTAGTTATCCATCCAAAACCAAAGAACCATAATATGCACTTTAGCAGGGATGTAATGTTTTTCACTCAATTCACATTCCTTTTGCCATGTATAATGTATACTGAGGGCATCTCACTCATTACTGGAGAGTGGCATGGGAGAACAGAGAACAGGTAAACATCCTTCCCTTCTGTTTTGCACATAAAGGCTAAAAATCAGCTAAGCACAGGAGATGGGTTCCCCAAAAAAGCTGTTTCAACACAAAGAAATGGAGAAAAGTGGCATGCACTTTGCTTATTCACACGTGGAGATGGACACCAGGCAGGATACAGGGAATCTCCTAAAGGACAAACTTTTCAGTGCCCTTTCAAAAGCTGCATGCTGTTTTCCAGAGATACGTTTTTATATCCACATTTATTCACTTCAGTACTTCCAGTCCAAACTCTACACAGTGGACAAGAAGAGAAAAGATGTAGAAGAACATATTGCTCTTTTAAATCTCCAGAGGACTGTGGTTTGCCTCCAAACCAGACTGTGAGGAAGGGCTGTGCGCATTACTGTGTTTGATTTTTTTTTATTTGATTTTTTTCCAAAGAATACATCCATGTTGGTAATAACAAGATATAATCCCTGGCAAACTGTTAACAGTTTGATTCTGTCAGAAATCTGCTGGCCTGCAAAAAGTCCTCAGGAACAATTTTGACAGAAACCACCAGTTCTGACAGCCAGTCTGCCTCCCTCAGGTCTCCCACACCTGTACACACCCCTATATAGACACAGAGCAGGGAAGAGAGAAAAAGTAAAACATTTCCTAGAATCACGTGTCCATACCTCTTTGTCACTGGACAAACAGCTTCTTCCCACCCAGACTTTTACATATTACTTCCTTTTAGTTAAGCCTACAGAGCAGTGGTGGAGAAAAATTAAATATTGAAGGGCTAATCCTTTATTTTAAAAATCCACCAGATATGAATGGCTGGCTCTGGCAATTTATTGCTGATTCTGAGGAGATTGCTAAAATAAATGTTTCACATCTCTTTGCAAGTGTCAGATAAAAAAAGTAAAATATTTGTCAGCTCCAGAGAGCTACAGCTTTTAACTTTCTAAAACTAAATTCAAAGAATATCAGAAATTCAAGGCTTAAAGATCACTGTTGATAGTTTTCCAGGAGAATTTTAACTATTCTTTCTATGTTACACCTACAACTGAACATGAGGATTTTAGACTTACTTGTTAAGTGGAAAGGTCAGCATAATTACAGGTTTGCAGTCTCAGGTCGAGAGACAGTCTTCCACAGAACACCTCAGATTTTCTCTGCTTGCCTAAATTCCTCAAAAGTTTTTAAGCTTTGAACTACTGCTTAACCTGCTTTCAGGAGAGCTGGAAAACTGATGGTACCTTTATGTGTTTCTGTCAATTTATCAGATATTTTCCATCATTATGATCAACCCTCTTCCTCACCCCCCACCCCCCCCTTTCCTCCTCTCCTTTCTTTTTCCTTTCTTTTTTTCAAACAAAAGTATTAGTCATTCTTAGAGAAACAATAAAATACTGTACTTTCCATCTGGAGGATAGTGTTCTAGCTGAACCCATGAAAAGACATAAAAACACCCCCAAAGGAGCAAATTACGCTCCTGAAAGACAGCAGGATCAACTGCCATGTGCTGTATCCAAACCAGTCTTATAGCCATACTCTTCACATTAGAATCAGGCTAAAAGAAATAATTACCTGGTAACTGATGTTTGGAGAAATTATTGCTGAGTGCCTGTTCCACACTTCCTCAGTGCAAATGAGAATCTGAAGAAAAAGCCATAATTTCAGTGTCAGTCAATTGCCCTGCTTGCATGGCTCTGAGAGGCTCAGCATGCAATGGGCAAACCACACAACATCTACGGACCCTCTCTGAATACAAGTAATATGTTGTTTCACATATTAACTGTTTCATTGTCATTTATAAGGAATACCTGTTACAGGGTTCTTTCTTATCAGAGAGAAGTTATTAGCAATGACACTATGAACAGCATTTTGCAAAAATTATGTGGATATCACACCCATGGTTAAGTTCATATGGCCACTTCCATTTTCTCTGCCTACCTGCCTAAATGCATAAGTAAAATACAATGGTTTCTTGAAATATTTTGTCTTTCTAGCAATTGGTTTTAGGATGACTTTTGGCTTTTATATATTTCTTGATTTTTTAAGATGATTTTTTGGTTTTTATATTTGGATGCTTCACTTTGAACACAACCAACTGCCATGATCCTGCCTTGTGGATTTACACATCTTTACAGTAAAGAGAAATAACATCCTACAGTAAAAAGAAATAACATCCTTGTTCTATTTTCACATTGCTTCCTTGTTCTGAGCCTCATCCAGCGTTCAAAGGCTCATTCAAACCTGCTCAGATTTCAATGTTGCTCTTCGTCACTCATACTGATTTTCATAGACAGACAAGCAGGTGTGTATGGGTCCATAGATACCATTTTCCTGCCTCTGTTCTCTTTGTGTTATTACAGAAATAAAATTATCTGGGTTTGCAAGGAGAGGAAAAACACAGGTCTTTCATAAGGAGAGTCCATACACTGAGTCCTGTATCGTTGAGAAGAGGAACCCCAAGCAGGTTGACAAAACAAGGCCAGTGAAGTCCCACAGAGAATTGTTAACCTCTTCCTCAAACCTCAGAGACTTTACAGGAAAGGGATAAAACTTTAGATTTCTATATGAGTACTAAGCTAATTTCAAGGCTAGGAAAACCTGGCAGCCTTTACAGTCAGACTGCTCTCAGCAATGCTCTTTTCACCATCTTCTCGGCAGCATGAAAACCTGATTAGTAGACTATATTTTGGGTAGAAATCAGGTGTTTGTGAAAATAAATGAGCAATACAGTGCCCTGGTCGTTGGTAAAGATGACACACAATAAAACTAGATCTCCCATTGCACAGACATGACCACCGTCTCTGTCTGAAACCAAAGAAGGGATTTACCTCAGTATCTCTACTAGAGGCTTGTTTATGAAGCACAAAGACAGAAACCATCATCCTCCAAATGGAGGGGGTTATGACCTGTACTAATGAGGTATATTTCAGATAGTCCCCAGATGTTCTACTGAACAAAGTCATCATCTAATCAACTGTACCCCTGTTCGCAGGACCACTCACAATTGTTACAATGGCTCCTGCAGACCTGGCAGGTGCTGTAGCACAAGCAGTCCACAGCTGCTGTTTTCCTCCTCTCGCAGTTCTAAAGGCTTTAAGAATCAGCCATGGAAGTTGTCAGAAGATATTTACTTAATTAAATTGAAGTTTAGAACTATGAAATTATTTAATTATTTAAGTGAAGTGTGTTGGACTGATAATCCTGTAGTAAGAATATAAAAGCTAGCAACATCCTCTTTGTACACACATATGCATTACAGTTCCAGTGTAGATTTCTTGCTGTTTCAATCAAAGCCCAAAATTTAGGTGCTTTAAAAAGATTTACAGCTTTTCTATGCTCAAAGTCCATTACAAATTGCTTTGCTCAGCCTGCTAGATGCTTCTTTCAGCACTCAGCATCAGTATCTGGCCCCAGTCTAATCAGCCACTGACTATTACTAGCAGGTTTGTAATTCCAGAATTCATTTCCAGTCAACACTTGTTGGGATTTTTGTTTGGCTTAACCACAGTTAAACAAAATTATGATAGGAAAAATGAATACATAAAGTGTCATGAAACTTCCCTAAAAAAATAAATCTCAAGTGAGTATTGACAGAAATGTGGCCTTCATCATTACAAAGAGATACCATGAGCATTGTTTTTGCCATAGGAGTTTTCCAATGTAACAAAAATGAATATCACAGCAGAAGACCTTTAATTCCCCCAACTGATGGTATAGGACATGCTACGCAGGTAGCAACCAAAAGAAAAAAAAAAAAAAAAAAGAACAAATTTCCAAAGGCATTTCAAAATTTCCTGTTTTATTCAAAACTAAGAAAAGCATCAGGTAATCCAGGTAGAACAGTTGCTCTGAACTACTGAAGTCATATGAAGGAATTCACATCCTCTGGAGAAAAATAAAGGTATAATTCATTAAAATTTATAAGTATTAATTTTATAGACAGCTATTGGTTTCATTGGTGTTAAAATAAACATGAACAGCATTTACTAAGAATATGAAAGGGATGCAAAAAGATACAGGGGTATTTTGTGTAATTTTCGCCCTCAGCCAACACAGAGAGGATGACAGTGGTTAAGTTTTTGGAAGACATTGGTAGCCACCCCTCATCAACATCTTCTGTTGCAATAAAGCAATGGAAAGACACCAGAAGAAGGAATTCAAGTATACAGAGACCTCATGGACCTGGGATATCTATTGTGTTGTGTTTTTTTTTCACCACCATGTGCCATACCAAATCAAATATTTATTTTGAGGAAATGGACTTCAGTTTGCATTGCTTTATTTTTAGATCTATTACCAGAGATGAACCTGTGACTCTTCAGATTTGGATAGAAAATGCCAAAACTTAAATTTTGAGTTCATCCACTTGAGCAATTTGTGGATGAGCTCAATCTCCTCTTTCTCTCTTTTGTACTGAATTTCTTGAGAATTAGACTGTCACTAACTTTAGAGCCAGCACACTATGGGTAAATTCTAAATATGAACTTGCAAAAGCAGCAGGAAACTATCATAAATATCTAGGCATTTTTCTGTTTAATCTGGTGCATTTACAGTTGAGATATGAAAAGCAGAACAAATACAAAATAAAGGGAGGGAGGAAAAGATGATTCCTGTATTCTACATTAAAATCTCATGAATTATTTTGAATTACTGATAACAGTTTGAGTTACTGATGTATCAAAAATTGAGTATGCATAAATCACTAGTGAATCAAATCTGATAACAGAGTCCTTAACACCATGGTTATATGTTTTGATAGAAATTTTATTAACAAGGACTTTGACTGTGAAAGCAGGCACAGGAGGTACTCTGCCATCAGATAGTAAAATACTGTTCCAAGTCTTTAGCTTATGGTTTCTAAAAATCAAGAGGAATTTTACTTTACAAGATAATTTCTGATGAATTAATCACTGGACTGATGCTGAAACAATGTTAACAACTGGTTGGCGTTGACTGTAGTAAATTGGATAATTTCAAAACAGTTTCTTACACACACATACTAGCACAGTTCATCAAGAAGGTTAATTCTACAAAGGCTGAAGAAAGTTAATAAAATTAGTGTGAGGAATATTAAAAGAAATTAGGAGTACTTAATGAATGAATAAAAGGCTGTTAAAAAGCTGAACTCAGTGGATGAAAAAATGTAGTAATTACTATTGATGGAAAATGACTGAAAGGGAGAAATGGATATCAGTGTAAATTAGAATTTATAACATATAGAATCTGATGAGAAAATCCAAGGACACAGGGGAAAAATCAATAACCATCAAAAATTAATGTTATTAATTAATATTTATGGAAACATAGCTTCAAAATTTTTATATATGTGTATAAGATTATTTGGTAGCAGTGAAATACTATTACCGTTATAATTATCTGATAGTGATGGCAAAATATTTAGTGATAAGGAAAACACAACACTATTTGAAAATATTTATAATATAATAAAAGCTGCTGATATATATATCCAAAGAGAACATATTGTAATACATTAAGACTAGTGTACATAGTGTACATCTATAAAGAGATGTTAAACATTGGTGTTCAACCCCTTTTTTTTTTTTTTTTTTAGCAAAAAATTCTGGAGAACTTTCACCCAGAAATCCTACAAATTCTCTATGGTGAGCCCTGAATATTAACTATCACCTTAGAAAAACATTGTGGAAATACAACAGACAGAAAGAATAATCCTAATACTTGTGAGTACTTAACAAGGATAAGCAAGATGACCTATGCAGCTATAGGCTGCTGAGTCTAATGTCAGTCATGGCCAAAATAATGGAACATTCATTTATCTGGAAAAGGACAGAAATGTAATTAGTGACAATCAACATCTTGTGATAGAAAATAGTATTTGTAGAACAAGTCTGATTTCATTTCTAGGAGATAAGTTTGATGTACATAAGCAACTGCAAAATACACCTGTCTTTCATTAAGCTGTTTTTCTACATTATTGCATTCTCAAAAACAAAACAAGACAAAACAAAAATCACCTCCCCATAGTATCTCTAAAGTACACTGTAAGTGAACAAAGACCAGACAAGTGGCAGACCTCAAAAAGTAGCTCTCCATGAAGAATCAAATAGAAATACTTTTAATGAGGTCCATCCCTATACAGGTTCTTCCATTACTTTCTGAGCTTAGCAAATCTACATAAAAGAAATGTTTTCAAAATACAAATACTGACAAGTAGAGTGCATTCAGGGTGACCTCTACTGCACTTAAGTTCTACCCATTAAATCAAAGAATGTTTCTACCAAATGAATAGTTCTCTGCCAAAGAGAAAACCAGACCTTGCCTGCAGAATAGGATCCACAGATAAATGTTGTGGCTGGAATGAGTAATGGGGCATACAGTATGTGGACTACATGGCTGAATGTGAATACTTCATCTGGAGCCACCACCAAAAACAAAAAACAAAAAACAAAACAAAACAAAAAAACACTTTTGCAAGGACAGAGCATATAATTAATAATAATAATAATAATATTAATAATAATAATAATAATAATAATAAAGATCATTTCTCATTTCAATTTGTAGAAATGGAGAAATGTGACTGTGTCTGCATTTGAGCAGATAATAACAAAACTCATGACAGGACTGCAAAAGTTCTTTAGGATTAGAGGTCAAAATGACTG